TTCATTACTGTTTTGTAGTGTTTTCTTGTAGAACTCTCTCACCTCCTTGGTCAAATTTATTCCTAGGTATTTTTTTTTGTAAATGGAATTGCCTTTGTTATTTTATTCTTTGCTATTTCATTGTTGGTATATAGAAATGGCATATTTTTGTATGTTGATTTTTTATCCTGCAATTTTACTAAAATTAATTTATCATATCTAAAAGGTTTTTTGTAGAGTCTTTAGGTTTTTCTAGATATAAGGTCATACCATCTGCCAAGGGGCATTTGACTTCTTTTTAAATTTGGATGCCTTTTATTTCTTTCTCTTGACTGATTGCTCTGGCTAGGACTTCCAGGACTACCTTGAATAGGAGTGGTGGAAGGGGTATCTGGCTTGTTCCAGTTCTCAGAGAAGAAGCTTTCTGCTTTCCCACATTCAGTACGATGTCTGCAGTGAGTTTGTCATATATGATCTTTATTATGTTGAGATATGTTCCTGCTCTGCCTAGTTTTTGAGGGTTCTTATTATGACGTGATGTTGTATTTTATCAAATATTTTTATGGACCACTGAGGTGATCATATGGGTTTTGTATTTCATTCTATCAAAGTGATAGATTGTATTGATTGATTTGCATATGTTGAACCATCCTTGTATTACTAGGACAAATCCCACTTGAACAGAGTGTATTATCTTTTTGATGTGCTGTTGGGTTCTATTTGCTAGTATTTCATTAAAGATTTTTGCATCTATATTCATCAAGGGTATTGGCCTATAGTTTTCCTTTATGTTTTTCTTTGTTGTTGTTGTTGTTGTTGTTATTGTTGTTGTTTCCTCTTCCAGTTTTGATATCAGGGTAATGCTGGCCTCATAGAATGAGTGAATGAGTTATGGAGAATTCCTTCTTCTTTAATTTTTTGGAATAGTTTGAAGAGAATTAGTATTAGTTCTTCTCTAGAGGTTTGGTAGAATTCGGCAGTGAAGACATCTAGTCCTGTGTTTTTCTTTGTTAGGAGACTTTTTATTACTGACTCAATCTCATTTCTTGTTATTTGTCTTTTCAAGTTTTCTATTTTTTTCCTGATTCAATCTTGATAAGTTGTATGTGTTCTATATAACTGAAAAACTTAAAGGAATTTATCTATTTCCTATAGGTTTTCCAGTTTGTTATTGTATACTTGTTCATGATAGTCTCTAATGATCTTTTGTATTTCTGAGGTATCAGTTGTAATGTCTCCTTTTTCTCTGATTTTATTTGAGTCTTCTCTTTTTTTCTTGGTTAGTCTAGCAAGAAGCTTATTGATTTTTGTTTAATTATAAAAAATAACTTTTCATTTCATTGATCCTTAGTATTTTATTTTAAATCTCTATTTTGTTTAATTCAACTCTAATCTTCATTAGTTCTTTCCTTCCACTAATTTTGGGTTTGTTTTTTCTTGCTTTTCTAGTTCCTTGAGGTGCATCAGTAGATTGTTCATTTGAAATCTTTCAACTTTTTTATGTAGGTGTTTATTGCTATAAATTTCGCACTTAGCATTGATTTTTTTGACAATTGTTATTTAGTTTTTATTTCATAATCATAAACTTAACTCTGAAATCCAACTAGACATGGCGGGGAATAAGGAAAATACAGAACCCAAAGAACTGCAGTGAGAACACAAAGATTACAGGATATTGCCAGCAAATAGGGTAAAGGGGTGCTCTCCTGAGCTATAGAAGGAATGGTCTGGTGGTTAAGATAAAACACTTAAGTCAAAGTCACTAGAGTTGTTCACAGTCAACAATGGTGATCTTCTTGCTGGTCTTGCCATTCCTGGACCCAAAGCGCTCCATGGCTTCCACAACATTCATGCCCTCTTTCACCTTGCCAGAGACCACATGCTTGCCATCCAACCACTCAGTCTTGGCATTGCAGATGAAAAACTGGAAACCATTTGTTAGCACTGCTTTTTATGTATCCCATGGGTTTTTATGTTGTGTTTCCATTTTGATTTGTTTTAAGACTTTTTAAATTTCCTCCTTAATTTCATCCTTGACCCAATGATCATTCAGGAACATGTTGTTTAATTTTCACGTATTTGTACAATTTCCAAAGTTCCTCGTATTATTGATTTCTAGTCTTATTCCATTGTGATCTGAGAAGATGCTTGATATGATTTTGATTTTTTTTAATTCATTGAGATTTTTTTGTATCCTAACATATGGTCTGTACTGATGAATATCCTGTGTGCTATTGAGAAGAATGTGTATTCTCTAGTTTTTTAATAACATCTTCTGTAAATGCTGGTTAGGTCTGTTTGGTCTAGAATGTGTTTTAAATCCAATGTTTCCTTTTTAATTTTCTGTCTGGATGATATACCCATTGCTGAAATTTATTGTTAATATATAGTATATTAATGTCCCCAACTAGTATGTATTGGAGTCTATCTCTCCCTTTGAAACTAATAATATTTGCTTTACATGTCTGAGTGCTCCAGTATTGGATGCACATATGTTTACAATTATTTTATCCTCTTGCTTAATTGATCACTCTATCATTAAATAATTCCCTTCTTTATTTTTTGTTACTGTTGTGATTTAAATTTTTTTATCTCATATAAGTGTAGCTACTCCTGATTGCTTTTTGGTTTCCATTTGCATGGAATATCTTTTTTCATATTTTTACTTTCAGGTTACATGTATCTCCATGAGTGAGATGAGTTTCCTGTAGGGAGCATATTTTTGGGTCATTTTTTTTATCCATTCAGCTGGTCTAAATGTTTTGAGTTGAAAGTTTAATTCATTTACATTGAAGGTTAATATTGATATGTGAGGGCTTATTCCTGTCATTTTTTAAATTAATTTCTGGGAGCTTTGTATATCCTTTGTTCCTTTCTTTTCCCTTATTGTTTACCATTTGGATTTGATGATTTTCTGTAGTGGTATCATTTGAATTTTTTCCTCTTCCTTGTTTATATGTTTGCTCTACCAGTGGAGTTTTATATTTTCATGTGTATTCCTAATGATAGACATTGTTATTTCGCTTCCAGGTTTAGACTTTCCTTCAGTATCTCTTATAGGATTGGTCTAGTAATGATCAATTCATTTCCTTAGGTTTTTATTGCCTGGGAAAGTCTTCATTTTGCCTTGATTTATGAAGGATAATTTTGCTGAATACGATACCTTTGGCTGGCAATTTTTTCTTTTACTACTTTCACTATTATTATCCCATTCTCTCCTAGCCTATAAGGTTTATGTTGATAAATCTGCTGTTACTCCAACGGGGGTTTCCTTATAGGTAACTACATGCTGTTCTATTGCTGTTCTTAAAATTCTTTCTTTGTCTTTGACTATATGTGCTATGGAAAAGACCTTTAAATTTTGAACTTCCTGAATCTTGATGTCTAAATCTCTTGCAAGGCTTAGGAAGTTTCATCTATTATTTCATTAAATAGTTTTTCTAACTCTTTAGTTTTCTTTTTGCCTTCTGGGACATCAAAAATTCAAATATTTGATCATTTTAGGATGTCTCATACATCATGTAGGTTTTGCTCATTCGTTTTTATTCTTCTTTCTTTATCTTTGTGTGACTATGTTATTTTAAAAGGCCTGTATTCAAGTTCTAAGATTCTTTCTTCTGCTTGATCTAGACTATTGTCAAAACTTTGAGATGTGTTCTGTATTTTATTCAATGAATTCTACAGTTCTAAAATTTCTGTTTAATTCTTTTTTATGATATCTATTTGGTGAATTTCTCATGCATATCCTGAATTGGTTTTCTGATTTCTTTATATTGTTTTTCTGCATTACTGAACTTCCTCAATATCAATATTTTGACTTCTTTTTTGGGATTTTATAAATATTTTTATTGGAATCTGTTGCTAGACAGTTATTGTGATAATTTGAGGGTGTGATATTTTCTTGCTTTTTCATGTTTCTGGTGTCCTTACATTGATATCTGTGCATCTGATATAAAAGTCACTCCTTCAAATTTTTGGATTGACTTTCATAGAGGATGACTTTTCCTGAAGATGTGTCTACGGTGATGATTAGCAAGCGTACTTTCACTTTGATTCTGAGCCTCAGATGGAAGTGGTAGAAACAAATTGAATAGAAATAATTCAGCACATTGCCTTATATTGCCTTAACTATTACAACACTATCACAACACCACAATGAGGTAGAATATCAATCCCAATTTTACCAATGAAAAAGTAAAACTAAATAATAAGTTAAGTAATTTTTCCTGAGCCACAGAGAAAGGGAAGTGCAGAGGACTCAAACTCAAATCCTTCTGACTCCAAAGTACTATTTAATATCAACATGTTAGTGTCCCCATTTTTCTGGGAAAGAACATTCCTCTACCCTACTACTAACTGAATAGTTCATTTTTTTAATGTTGTGGGAAATTTTTATGCAAATAATTTTTATACAAATAATTGCATAAAATTTGCACCAATGAGAAAATAAATTTCTTATTCACCATAACTGCCATCTTTCTAACAAGTGTTAGATTATGATAGAAGGTCTCAGAACAAGCTACCTATGGAAGACATTATGTGATTCTTATATTTAAATATGTAAACTGAAGCTTGATTGTTTTCTGCAGATACTTTCTATTAATAAAAGATTTTGATATTATATTATAAGTATTTGTATATGAGCTCACCAAGATATAACACTGTCTAGTAATAATTCATTAATTAGAAACATTTTCTTATAATTCACCTTATGGGCTTAATAAATTATGATTGACAAAAACTAAGTAAAATTTGATATTCCTTTTCCTGTAAAGTTACTTCAGGGACCCTTAAATTCCACTTCCAATACATGTTTCACATTAGTGGCCAGATATTTCATGGCTTTAGCCCACCTCTGCAATAGAAAACCCTTGAATATTTCCTGGATGATTTTCTCAGTGATCCCACTAAAGAACTAAGATGATATTATTCATGTTACAGAATTTCAGAATTCTCTTACTTTTTAAGTTTATATATAAATGTAATGACTTGGTATTAATAAATGTGATCTTTGTTTCCAGTTTACCTTCTCAGGAATATTTGCAATAGTGGTAGAGAAGAGTTCTTCAAGTTCCTTGGTAAGTCAGAATACTTATAGCAACTCTAAAGATTTTTATCTGCCATAAGAGCTAAAGTCAGTGAGGAAGCAGCATTGTCTATGAGTCACTAGAGACCTATCCATAACCTTTGGAGGATTTTTAAAATAGAAGAAATGTAAGTTTCTATTGCATTCTCATCCAAAAAAGCATACACTCCAGTTTCCAAAATTTTTGTTCTATTTCATTTGTTATAGAAATAATTCAGGACTACGAAGTTAACCAAGAAGTTAAATTTTATATGATAATCCATGTAATGCAAATTAGAATGTCAATTATGATATGTAAATACAGAGACCTTGAAATGACACAGTATCTGTTATTATCTTCTTTTTCATTGTTTCTTCACATCTAGGAACATTTTAATTGTATGGTGGACATCGTGTGTGAGGTGTTGTAAAAGAGTCTGGATTATGTTGATTTCCTTTAGATAGTGTTGAGTTTTGTATTGACAGTAAGATGTAAGAATAAGAAATTAGAATTATTATGTATGTTAATGATGGAAGATTGACTTCTGGGATGGCAGAGTAAACAACTCCATAAATTCATTCTTAAAAAAAAAAATAAGGAAAACACTGGCAAAACAACTAAAATTAATGATTCAGAACACTGATAATTAATCAAGGCCATGGCAAAAACCAAAAATTGTCTATCCAAGAGATGCAACTAAAGCTCAGTAAAGCAGAGGGATCTATAATGTGTTAACTTGAGGCTGTTTCCATCTCCTCTCCTTTCTCATTTCATTGGCAACGTATCCGTGAAAAGCCAACAGTATTGCAGCCAACTGATAAGACTGACATCATTTGATGTTCTATTAAAAGCACTATCTCCTGAGCATAGTCAACATTTTGTCTGAACTGGCTGGGAAAAAACATTCTATTCCCAGGATGTTGTGGCTATTTGGACACAGACCTCAGTTCAGTAAAAAAAAAAAAAAAAAAAAAAAGCCCTACAGTGATCTAGCACCTCTTATATTTTCCTGGATAGAGCCTGAGCCCATCCTCCAAAGGGAGGTATCACAAGAATGGAAGAATAGGCTCCACATGTGCTCGCCATCAAATTTGCACTAACTGATCAACATTATGGTGCTTACATGGTAGTAATATTCTCCAGGGATTAGAGGATTGGGAGTGGGTAAACCCACAACTAATGGACGTGGTGAGTGTTGTAGGGGTAAAAGGCATGCCCCAAATCATGGTTTGGGTGTGGCAAAGTCATAATATGTAACCAAAATGTTTGTACTCCCATTCTATCCTGAAATAAATAAATAAATAAAACAAAGCCCTACCACTAGGTGGCTTAAACAGTATCAATATGCTGGCAACAGCACAGCTGAATTAGGCAATGAATTCAGGTGAATAGGAGCCTGGTCATAAATTTAAGAGGAAATCCTGAATAACTAGAAAGCCATAGGGAACCTCGAAAAGCTCTGACATATTCTTGGAGATCTGAAATGCTTCACACATGTGGAAGGCTGTGTGCATGCCCAGGAAAGACCTGAGAAAGGAGAAAGGCCCACTAATTCATCTCTGGCTGACTGAGAGGCCCCAAGCAAGGAATAAATGAAAGCTAAGGCTGTCTTATAAACTGATTAATGTTTTAAGTATGTATTGTCTTACGTACAGATTCCTCTTGGAAAAGTATCATTGGCTGACATGAGATTATACTGACTCATGGGTGACTCCTAGAAAGCAGAGAACTCACAGGCCCTACATTGAGGGAATATAATATTTCCAGAATTAGTCAAGGAAAGTCAACAAACAAATAAGCAGGAATTAGAAAAACAACAATAACAAGCAGCAGCAAAAATAACAAACCCTTGGGGTAGACAACAGTCAAATACCAAGTATTTTACAATATATTAGGTAAAATGTCCACTTTTAAAATAAACATAAAACATGCAAAGAAACAAACATATTTTATATACACAGTGGGAAAAATGCAACCAACAGAAAATGTCCCTATGGAACCCCAAATTTTTGGACTTAGTAGTCAAAGATTTTTAAATCAGATGGTTTAAATATGTCCAAAGAACCAAAGGAAACAATGTTTAAAGGATTAAAAGAAATTATAAAAGTGATATCTCATGAAGTAGAGACTATCGATAAAAAGATAGAAATTAAATAGATTGTTTTAACTTAATATGTTAATTGGAATTCCTAGGGAAAACACTAAAAAAAGAACTTAAAATAAACAATAAACAAGAAAATGAATATGATACTATGGTTGAATGTTTGTGTCTCCTCCAAAATTCATGTTGAAACTTAATTCCAAAGCAGCAGTATTAATAGGTATGGGCTTTTGAATGTGATTAGGTCATGAGGTCTCCACTCTCATGAATGAATTAGTGCTCTTATAAAAGACCTGGACGGAGCTAGCTAGGTCGGTTTTCCCTTCTGTCTCTTCTGCCATGTGAAGACCCAGCATTTGTTCCCTCCAGAGGATGCAGCAGCAAGAAACCATCTTGAAAGCAGAGAGCAGCCCTCACCAGACATTGAATCTACTGGCAACTTAGTCTTAGACTTCTCAGCCTCCAGAACTGTTAGAAATAAATTTCTATTGCTTATAAATTATTCAATCTGTAGTATTTTGTTATGGCAGCACAAATAGACTAAGACCACCAGCAAATATATATTTAAGAAAAATTAAGGCAATAATGGAAAAACAAAGAAACAAAACAAAACAGATATATATAGAAAGCTAAGAGCAAAATGCCAGACATGAATCCTATCTTATCAGTAATTACATTAAATGTTAGTGGATTGAACGCTTCAATAAAAAGGCAGAGATTGGCAAAATTGATTTAAAAAGCATTTCTAACTATATGCTATCTAGTATGTAGATAATGTATAAATGAGATACATTTTATATTCAAAGATGCAAATAAGTTGAAAGTAAAAGGATAGAGAGGGACATCAGCAAGATGGTAGAATAGAGCTCTCTAGTGCTCACTGCCCCCACAGAAACATAAATTCAAACAATGTTCTACACACAAAAAATATCTTGACAAGAACCAAAAGAGAGATTACAGCACCTGGAAACCAAAAGAGAGATTACAGAACGAATATAAGAAAAGATACTTTGGAGAGGATAGGAATGGCAGTTCCACATTACATACATGACCTCTCCCCGAACTTTAGGCAGCAGAGCCAGGAGAGAGATACATTCCACCTAGGGGAAGGAAATGGAAGTAAGCATCATACTTTGCCTTGCACTCCAACACTGGGCTTGCCCCAGTACAGCCCAGCACTGGGAAGGCACCCATGACCCCAGACTCCTGGTCAATACCCACATGTTGAGCCTCTAGGCCTGCACTGGTATGTGTACAGATCCTGTAGGCCCAGTCTCCAGGACTGCCTTATTGACTCAGTCTTCAGGCCACCTGACTGCCAAGGCTGCCTCAGCAGCCCCAGCCTCCAGACTGCCCCCAACACAAGGCTGGCTCCCATAGCTCCAACCTTCAGGACTTCTAGAAGTAGAAAGATAGCACCGGCAGACCCAGCCTCTAGTCTGACCCCTGTGTATATAGGCTTCAGGCCTGCTCAATGGCAGGCCAGCTCCTGTCATGTCAGACTCCAGGCCAGTACCCATGCACTGAGCTTACAAGTATGTCCTGGCACCAGGCAGGATCCTGAAACACCAGGCTTTGTTCAGCCCATCAGGCTATGTCTGAAAGCCTAGCCCAAAACCAGGCTAACTCCAGTAGCCCCAGGCTCCAGACCAGCCCCAACACTAGGCAGACCCCAGAAGCCCCAAGCTTCAGGCTTACTAGTCATCAGGCCAGAGTCTGTGGACCTAGCCTCTAGGCGGGCCTCTGTGAGTATGAGCTCCAGGCTGCCTAGCACTAAGCTAGCCCATCCAGCCTCAGGCTTCAGGCTCATCTTAGTTCCAGATTGGTACCCCTGGCCTCAAGGCAGTGAGGAACGCATGAACACAAGCTCTGGACATTGCTAGTGCCAGGCGGTCCCTGTGGCCCCACCCTGCAGGCTGTCTCCTACAGCCCCATGCTCCAGTAGACCAAGGTCCAGGCATGCTTCAGCAGATCCAGGGTCTATCCGCCAATCTCATTAGATCTCAGTGCTGGATCAGCTTCCACAAATGCAGGCACCAGGACTATCCTTGCATACCCAGGTTCTAGACAAGCCCCTAGGCCTCAGGAACCAAGCCATCTTTTGTGGACCTAGTGTCTAGGCCAGCATCCACACACCTAGCCTGTAGGCCAGTATCAGTAGACACAGGCACCAGGCTGGTCCCCACAGTCCCAGGCTTGAAGCAATCTCCAGTGACTGTAGGCACCATTCCAGCTTCCAAAATCCTAGGCTCCACACCAGTCCTATAGACCCAGACCCCACACCTGCCCCAGCATCAGGTCAACTCCAGGCTTTAAGCCAGTCCATGCAAATCCAGAGTCTAGACTCATCAGCAAACCCAGAGTCTAGACTACTACTCCAGCAAACCCAGAGTCTAGACTCACCCCAGTATGGACTGAAGCTCCAAGACCATAACTAAAGACCCAAGTTCTTTGCCAGTTCCCATGAATCCAAGACCCAGACACACCTCCACAACTCAGGCTTCAGGCCTGCCCCAGAATAAGGCCAACCCCCATGGACTTAAGCTCCACACTTGTCTCAGTAGTCCCGGGCACCATATCCTTCCCAACACCTGGCTGGTGCCTGCAAACTCAGGCTCATGGGTCAGCTCCTGTGGACCAGGTTTCTGGATGGCCCCTGCAGATTTAGACTTCAGGTCCATCACCATAGACTCAATGAATAGGTCTACCCCAGTGGGCACAGGCTTCAGGCCCAACCCCACAGACCCAGGGCGAGGCCCACCCACCTGCTTATTTAGACACCAGCCCAGGCTGACTGAGGACTCCAGCAGCATGCCCACCACCAAACCACACTAGATATCCTGCCCAGAGTGTATGGATGGACTGACTGGTGAAAGGCTTTTTCGAACAAAGCCAGCCTTTAAAAAACTGT